ACTTCCTTTGGGCATTTCAGCCTTAGTTAATTTATGCCAATGATAAAGAGGTTCTCTTTAGCCTCAAACTTTACCTCCTTTGCGTTTGTTGCCTGTTTAGCTTTCAGATCTCTGAGCCTCTCCACCCTGCTATCCTTTTAGCCCTTTCTCATTATATTTCCTACAACTGAGCCCTTTTGAGAAGTAGCTAAACTCTTCTGGTCCCTAAAGAGTCCAAAAGCCCCAAGGTAAAGAAATTCTCTTTTGAGAATTGTTCATCTGAAAACAAATACAAATCAGTAAAGCTCAGATTGAACTTACCTATCTTACTTAGATTGCAACTTTTCCCTGTCTTGTATAGTTTCATATCATAAGATGACACCTACAGTCTAAAACAAGTTTAAATTTCAATTTACTTGCCTAATTTTTCTAGCCCCTCCTAGAGCAAACTCCTTTTCTCCTCTTTGGCCTGTAAGATTTGGAATAACTCCAGAAGGAATTATCAAAAAGTGTTTTAAGAAATTTAGGTCCCTAGCAAGATACATATTGGAAGTGCAGCGGTTTGTTACAGTTGATTGCTAAAAGAACACCCACTGATTGTAAAGAGCAGTTTTCTTTTTTGTAATAGAAGATACCAACTTGTTTCATTTGGCAGTTCTTTTTCCATCTAATTCAGAAACTGGAACATGGCCACTACAGTTGTATATATGTCTGATTTTTTTATTTCACAATCATTGCTTGCATTTGTGGTGACTAAAGCTGCTTATCATGAATTGGTTTGATTCTCCGCTCTGACAAGGGCATCTGCTCCGCTGTCCAGTGGTGGCAGCAGAACACACACCGTGCTTTATGACGTGTTTGTAGCTCACGATTCACAAAGTAATCAGCTTGCAGTTTATTGAGGAAAGTATCACAAAGGCTGTGAACCCGCCTTCTAAGTTTTGAGTAGATACCCCGACAGAAACAATGCTGGTTTTGAAGACAGTCTGGGAGCAACTATCCTGATTGTGGAAGGGCTTGCTAGTCAGCTTGTCTCCTTCTAAAGAAAACTTTTCTGCCTAGGGGACTTGTGAATTTTGCCACTAGGAGAAAACTATGAGGTTCTTTTCCAGTGCTGGTACCAAGATGCACATTTGTGAAGATAATTTTATTCTAGGAAGATAGTTTCCAGACACTTTCAAACACTTATAGTTACAAAGCTAACATTAGGGGTTTTCTCTTTTTTTCTCTACTGTGCCTCTTCCCTTCTTTCTTATGACATTTGGCACATAAGCCTATTTGACTTGACACTGTAGCCATCTTTCTAATTTCTTTTTCTTGCAGACTTCCACCAGACATTGGATATATGTGAAGTTAACACACTGAGCAATTAGGAAAAAGTTTTAGGTGTTTCTGGCAGTCTATCCAGTTTATCTAAAGAAAGCCCCCACCTGTTTCATTTTGACACTAAAACTTGTAATGATTAAACTTATCATAGCCTTTAGGATCATGATCTTGAAGAATCTCAGGAAGTAACTTTCCTATAGACTCATTAAGTATCAAGTAGAAACAGTTTGTAAAACAACAGTCACATTTCTTAACATACTTTGGCTCATATCAGATCAGCTTTTGTCTTCAAAATATAAATTGGCTCAATTTATTTTTTATTGACATATAGCTGATTTACAATTTGATTTCTCTACAGCAAAGTTATATATATGAATATACATTGATTTTTTTCTTTAATATGCTTTTCTGTACATCTGTTAACTCCAACCTCCCACTCCACCCCTCCTTCAACCCCTTTGGCAGCCACAGATCTGTTCTCTATGTGTGTGAATCTGTTTCTGTCCTGTCAGTAGGTGCATTTGTGTCATATTTAAGATTCCACACTATCACATAAGGTGTGATATATGGCATTTGTCTTTCTCTTTCTGACTTACTCACTCAGTATGGTAATCTCTCATTGCATCCCTGTTGCTGCAAATGGCATTATTTTGTTCTCTTTGGCGGGCGGTGGGGCTGAGTAGTACTCATTGTATGTATGTACTGCATATGTCTTCTTTATTCATTCATCTTTTGATAGACGTTTAGGTTGTTTCCAGGTCTTGGCTATTGTGAATAGTGCTGCTATGAACATAGGGGTGTGTGTATCTTTTTCAATTAGGGTTTTGTCTGGGTATATGAAATTGTATCAATATATAATGATAGATATTATTAGAAAGCCAGCCATTAGATTTGGTCAGGGCACATTTGGGACTTGTAATATCCCATGTATATATTTGTTACACTTGTAATTCTGCTCATATTGTTACTTGTTTTATGTAGTTTTTTTTACTTATTTTTACTAATGGTAAACACAAATTAGCACTTCTCAGGAAAATCCTTTGGCTTTTCTTGTAAGCTAGCAGATTAAGAAACCTTAAAGGAAATAATGTACTAGCACTCTATTTTTTTTTTTATTACTGAATAATTCCATTGTTTGGATATACCACATTTTGTTTATCCATTCATCAGTTGGACATGGGGTTTTTTCCTACTTTTTAGCTATTATGAACAGTGCCTTCGGTGAACACAAGTTTTTGTATGTACATATAGTTTTACTTCTCTTGAGCATACACCTAGGAGTGGAATGGCTGAGTCATGATAACTGTTTAACCTTCTGAGGAACTGCCATGTTGTTATTCATAATGGTTATATACCATCTAACATTATCACCAGCAATGCATATGTGTTCCGTATCTCTGCATCCTGCCAACACTTTTTTTGGTAACACTTTTTTTTTTAATAGTGGCCATCTTATTGGGTGTGAAGTGGGTTTGTGTTTTGATTAATGATTAGTGAATTGCTATATTTTGATAATTTTTTATATTTTCCTCAAAGAAAATGAACATTGACATATTTCTTAACTAGTGATACTAATAATAAGTCTTGAGAATGTCTATGTTAAAAAGATATGTTGTTGGCATCAGCATTAAGGTTAGAGGGGTTGATAGCTATTCAAAAGGAAGCTCCCATGTGACAAAGCCTTGGGGGTGTATCCTCCTCCATAAGTTAGGGTTTTGTCCTGGTTTTTAGTTGCACAAACTTCAATTTGCTTGGTTACCTGGAGGTAATCAGACTATACATTTCTCTCTTTAATCAAACTCAAAAGTGATTAATATGTAAAATACATTTAGAGGTACATTTATTTAGAGAAAGGTGTGTGTGTGACAGAGATTTCCTAACTGGGATATTTATGTGAATCCAAGACTCTTGTTTCTCATTAGGATACTTAGGGTGCTGAATTAGGGATTCTAAGTTTTTGTGGTGAGCCTGGAATTTTGAAGGAGGGGACCAGGATATTAAACTGGTATTTCATCTAGACTTTGGGAAGACTTGTTGCACCATCCTATTATTGCATCTTCCTCTGAAGAACCACCAGATTCTAAGCCTCTGCCTTGGACTCAAGGTTAAATTCCAGTCTTGTTGTCACACCCTTATCAAAGCTTCTCCCGTCATTCCTTGGTGAATGAGGCATTTCCCAAGTACTCCTTAAAGTGCTTTTTGTCTTTACATATAGCTAAAGCTAATATTAATTCAAATAATTAAACACCTGTCATATTCTTTTTAAATTGAAGTATAGTTGATTGTATATACACTGTATATACATGTATACAATATATATACATTCTGGAGAAGGAAATGGCAACCCACTCCAGTATTGCCTGGGGAGTCCTGTGGATGGAGGAGCCTGGTGGGCTGCCGTCTGTGGGGTTGCAGAGTCAGACATGACTGAAGTGACTTAGCAGCAGCAGCAGCAGCAGCATATACATTCAGTGATAGTTATATGTGTATATATATATTCGTTTTCATATTATTTTGCATTATGGTTTATTACTGGATATTGAATATAGTTGCCTGTACTGTACAGTAGGACCTTGTTGCTTATCTGTTGATACTTTATATATAGTAGATATAGTAGTTTGTATCTGTTAATCTCAAACTCCTAATTTATGCCTTTCTCCGTTGGTAACCATAAGTTTTTTTCCTGTATGAGTGTTTGTTTTGTAAATAAATTTGTGACATATTTTAGATTCCACATTAAGCGATGGGATGTCTTTTCTCTTTCTACAAATGGGATTATTTCATTCTTTCTATGACTCTGTGTGTGTGTGTGTGTGTGTTTAGTTTTTTAAGCAGCCTTCATACTGTTTTCCACAGTGGCTGCACCAATTTACCAACACCCTCCCACCTGTGGTGTGGAAGGGTTCCCTTTTCTCCACAACCTCTCCAGCATTTGTTATTTGTAGACTTTTTGATGATGACCATCCTGGCTGATAGGAAGTGATACCTTGTTGTAATTTTTATGTGCATTTCTGTGATAATTAGCAGTGGTGAGCATCCTTTCATGAAATGTCTTCTGCCCACTTTTTGGTAGTGTTTGTTTTTTGTTCGAGTTAGTTGTATGAGCTGTTTGTATGTTTTGGAAATTAAGCCATTGTTGGTCACATCATTTGCAGGTATTTTCTCCCATTCAGTATGTTGTCTTTTTGTTTTGTTTATGGTTTCTTTGCTGTGTGAAAGTGTATAAATTTGATTAGGTCCCATTTGTTTGTTGTTGCTTTCATTTCTGTTGCCTTGGGAGACAGGCCTAAGAAAACACTGGTACGATTTGCCTGTGTTATCTTCCAGGAGTTTTATGGTATCATGTCTTAAAGTCTTTAAAGCATTGAGTTTATTTTTGTGTATGGTGTGAGGGTGTGTCTTCATTGATTTACATGCGCTGTCCAACTTTCCCAACACCACTTGCTGAAGATAGACTGTCTTCACTCCATTGTATGTTCTTGCCTCTTTGTTGAAGGTTGATATACCTACCATATTTTGAACACTATTCTAGCTCTGGGTACACTCTTAATTACAGAGGTATAGCCCCTACCTTCATGGTCACTTTTAGAGTGATTTATTTTTCCTATTTAGGGGTATCTCACTTTTAACTCCATTTACTAGTGATAATTCTTTACTTATGTAGTACTTAAACCTCTAATGCTATTCTTCCACAGCAATGGCACAAGCATGATATCGTTGATCATTCCTCCCAAAGACCAGATTTCACGAGTGGCAAAAATGTTAGCAGATGAGTTTGGAACTGCATCTAACATTAAGTCACGAGTAAACCGCCTTTCAGTCCTGGGAGCCATTACGTCTGTACAACAAAGACTCAAACTTTATAACAAAGGTAACCCGGAGCTTGGCCATTTACCTCCTCTACTTTGTCTTGGCTGTATTTTCCACTTTGATTCTGTTGTGATGCTTTTGGTCACAAGTGCTTTCTTTACCCAGACATGAGCTGTGTTCCTTTGGTCTTTTTTTTCCCTAAGTTATTTTTTGAAAGTTAAGTAGTATGTATTATACTTGAACATCTCAAGTTTCAAAATTAGGAAGAGAAATCTGCCTGAGAAATTTACAGATATTTCTACTTTATGTAAATTATGATTTAAAGGGACAGGACCAGTGGGCTGTGGGAACATTTCCTATTAATTGAGGAAAATTAGGTGTGTATGTAAGTAGAGAAATTGTTTGTTCTTTGCAGTACCTCCAAATGGCCTGGTTGTTTACTGTGGTACAATTGTAACAGAAGAAGGAAAGGAAAAGAAAGTCAACATTGACTTTGAACCTTTCAAACCAATTAATACATCATTGTATTTGTGTGACAACAAATTCCACACAGAGGTAAGAAGTTAAAACAGAATGTTTTTGTTACCCTAAAAGAAATCCACCATACCTATTAGCAGTCACTCCCAGGCCTTCCTCGTCCCTGCCACCATACCCCAAGATCTTTCAGCTGTAGGCTACCCCTGATCTGTTTTTTTGTGCCTTTTGTGGCTTGTTCCTTTTACTTAGCGTGTTTTCAAGGTTCATCCATTTTGTGGTATGTATTATGCGTCATTCCTTTTTTATTACCAAATACTATTTTCCACATTTTATCTATTCATGGATATGCCATATTTCACTTAATAACATCATTTGGTGAAATTGTCATTTCCATTATTTGGCTGTTATGAATAATACTGCTTTGAACATACATGTACAAGGTTTTGTATGTCCCTATGTTTTCACTGGGGTCCAGGTATACAAGCTAGAAGTGGAATTTCTGGGTCATATAGTAATTATGTTTAACCAGTTCAACAATTGCCAGGCTGTTTTCCAAATAACTGTTCCATTTTATAAAGCTGGTTCTTCTTTTTTAAAAAAAAATTTTTTTTTTCATTATTATGACAATGAATGTCATGAATATTCAGCATGTTTGAGGAAAGTGCTAAGCTGGGTTTGAAGAACTAATTAGAAGCAGAGAAATAAATGACTACCTGATCTCTAGGTCTCCTTATGTATCCATGATACTTAAATATGAATATATTTCTTGCACTCTTAGTTTCAGCTGACAAATTATAAAAATTTTCAGTAGTCAGGACTATAAGAGCTTTTTCCCCCCATCCATTAAAAAAAAAACAAAAACTTTTGAGTGACAGAACTGTCATAATATGATGAACATTAAGGGTAGAAAGGAAACCTCATTAGAGTGACCTAAATCAGTCAACAGTAGAACAATCAAGAATTCACAGCTGGCTTCTAGTTCAGTCTCTTGCCTTTCATCAACATAGGGGAAAACCTCTATAGTGGAATTAGAACTGACATTTGTTGACACAGTTTACAATGGATGATTCTGCTAACTTGACCGGAAGTTCAGTTCCAGTTGGATCTTGAGTGATTGCATAGATGGTGGAGACGGACTTTTCTCTTGGCTGTCACAGCCTACTTCTGGCAAAAGTTCCATTGGGGAGGCAGTTTGCCACCCTCTTCCAATTAACTGTATCTGCTTTGATGAAAGCAGATTTTGAGTCTTCTTGATTTAAATAGTACATGATACTCATGTTATCTAGTTTTACCTTACTTACCTAAGTTAGCTTAACTTTTTCCAAAATACCATTTCATCTTAACTAGCTTTGTTTTGGCTCTAACTGGTATATCAAAAACTACATATACATGTGGTATACTGAAGAGCACAACTGAAGTTGTGTTTAATCAGGATATTTATATATTCTTATTATGAGGGATAAGTCTATTCCCTGATTCTGACCCCACTCTGTGGCATGTGGGATCTTAGTTCCCTCATCAGGAATCAAATCTATACCCCCTGCATTGGAAGACAGAGTCTTAAGGCAAAATTTTTAACATGGGCAATATTCATGTCTTAATGCTAATTATCAAATATGCTTTGGTTAAAGGGTGATTCTTAGTGATTAATCTGCTTTCCAGTCAGTTCGTGAAGAGCTGTTTTCTTCCTCAGTTAAATGGTATGGGTAATAAATCTTAGCTCTATAGAGGCTGCCACCTAGTTATTAGTCACCTACCATGTCTATAGACGCCAACTCTTGCCCATCTGTGTGGGTCCCAGAACTATTTAAAGATCTGATCTTTCAGGAGGCATAAATAGAATGATACTAACCCAGAAGGATTTTCTCATAAAAACTCACAATTATTACCTATAGTACCTTTAAAATTGAATTTTAGATATTGATGTCATTAATGTTACTCAAGACATAATTAAATGAAACATTTCAAAACTAGATCTTTTTATAGACGATTTCTGGGTTTTGTCCTCAGTGAGTACGCCTGTTCTAGAATTGATTTGCAAAAGATTCTTATTAGCCATAGTGAATACTGCCTATTAATGCTGGGGTTATTAATGGTAACAGCAAGTCAACTTTTGGAGGTTAGACTTTGAATATTATGTTCCCTAGACCACCATCAGTCTAAAAACAACCTAGGAAGAATTTGAACCCTATAACTATTAGTTTTGGGTTCCTGTGCCTAGGTCAGCTTTGTAAAAAGGCTTCACATTGATGTTGTTGGTTTTCTCCTGCATCAGGTTCAGATTTGTCTATATGAATTACATATTTATAGCTGAAGCCTTTAAATTACTCTGTGAAATGGTTTTTCTGTAGTACTCCATACCTTTCTGAGTGGAAAGGGCTTGTATATGTCCCTTTGGGATTTTGTCTTAACTTTGCAAAGCTTTGAGATTTATGGTGTGGTACCTGTGTTTGCTTTTCAGGCTCTTACAGCACTACTTTCAGACGATAGCAAGTTTGGCTTCATTGTAATAGATGGTAGTGGTGCACTTTTTGGCACACTCCAAGGAAATACAAGAGAAGTCCTGCACAAATTCACTGTGGATCTCCCAAAGAAACATGGTAATCTAGGAAGAGAACATGAACACTTTTGCTTTGTGTCCAGCATTAAGGAAGCAAATTGTGTAGTAGGGGAAAGTAAACTCAGGTGATGGGAAAAGCATTGTTACTTGTGACTCTCTTGACTAGAGAATTAGTGTTCACTCACTAAAAGCAATTTTATTCTGAAAGGAATAGTGATTTTCTCCTTTCCTTGGGAAATAGCATGGTTATATAATTACTTTTTAATTAGCAAGGTATCATATACTTAATAAATGACTTTTTCTCTCATAACTTTTTTTGTCAAAGGTAGAGGAGGTCAGTCAGCCTTGCGTTTTGCCCGTTTAAGAATGGAAAAGCGACATAACTATGTTCGAAAAGTAGCTGAGACTGCTGTGCAGCTGTTTATTTCTGGGGACAAGGTGAATGTGGCTGGTCTCGTTTTAGCTGGATCAGCTGACTTTAAAACTGAACTAAGTCAATCTGATATGTTTGATCAGGTAAGTGAGAAGTAGATGCTCCATTATGTAAGTTTCTTGGTGGGAGTAGTTGAGTTCTCTGAGTGCTGGGACATGCACATCTCTTTCTTTTACAGTGATAAATTCCATGTTAAAAACTTCTTTCTGAGTTGGCAAAATTTCGTGTGTATTATTAGTAATATTAGGAGATATTCCCCTACTGTGTCTGGACTTATTTTCCTTTGAAATCAGCCATTTTGGGACGGAATCTTTCTTGGCCCTATGTTGGCCCCTGGTTTTAGTAGGTTGCCATAATTGGCTTTAAATTGAAGTTTGATTTCAAAGAAACTAGGAGCTGGTTTTATCAGTCTAATAGGATGTGCAATACAGTTGGCTGGGGAGGTGATCTCCATGAGACCTGTTCATGAATAAATTGGGCACCTTCCCCCATATTCTTCCTCTTGATGTTTCACTGGCTAGTTTTGCATGCCATTAAGAGGTCATGGGTCTTGGTAAGGGTGTTTTGAAGTACTAATGATGTGCTTTTTCTTTTTTTTTTATTTTGTTATGTGTTAGAGGTTGCAATCAAAAGTTTTAAAATTAGTTGATATATCTTATGGTGGTGAAAATGGATTCAATCAAGCTATTGAATTATCTACTGAAGTCCTCTCCAACGTGAAGTTCATTCAAGAGAAGAAATTAATAGGTATCAGTGAAATACAACTTCTTTACTGTGAAAAGTTTTTGTATGTGTGTATGTACAAAACAAGACACTGAGAAGGGTAAAAGAGGAAGGTTTAGCATTTTTATTAAAATCCTTCTCGATGGAATCATTATTTTAAACCATCCTTTAGTTGTCACATCTAATATTAATAATAAATGTTTGTCTCTCTTACTGTTTTTACCCTTTGGCAGTAGGAACCAAACTTCAGTCAAATTTCCCATATTATGTTTTGTTTTAGAGTGATAAATAATTCAAAACCTCAAATTAAAGATTAATAGGGCCATTGTTTGGCTGTGTTTCCAATTTCATACATGCACATTTCCAAATGATTATGTATTTGGCCCAACTGGTACCTCTTGAGACTCAATTTCTGGAGCCTCGACTAGTGGTGTGATTTTTCACTAACTTTTGGCAGTTGTTTTTAAGTTGACTTGTTCTCTTTCTCTGATTTTGAGTAAGAAGGTGTATGTGTACAAAAAGAAACATTAATATACATTCTTTTGACCTGTCCCTAATCACAGGGCGATACTTCGATGAAATAAGCCAGGACACGGGCAAGTACTGTTTTGGAGTTGAAGATACACTAAAGGCTTTAGAAATGGGAGCTGTAGAGATTCTAATAGTCTATGAAAATCTGGATATCATGAGATATGTTCTTCATTGCCAAGGCACAGAAGGTATGATAATTAGTAAATAAAGTTTCCATTTGTTACTAACCTGTGTATTCAAGAAGCCTGGGGTGGAGATTGGACAAGGTGGCTGATTTCAAGAGCAATTAAAAGGCAGATGTGTATCTTGTTCCCCACTCCCAGCCTGTACCCGATCGAACTGATAAATGTCTGCCTAAGATTTTTTGAGGATAAGGGGTGTATCTTAAATGTCTTTGATGTTTCCTTATGATAGGACCAGTATACCTGGTAGACATTCATTCACTGCATACTGACTAATGTGCTTATAAAAGAAGGTTGATAGAATCAGTCAGGAGTCCTTTCATCTAACCTAATTTTCATCTCATGGAACTTAAACCTATTAGTATCTGAGAAGCAGGTTAACACATCTTTTTTCCCCCAATACTGCAGAGGAGAAAATTCTCTATCTAACTCCAGAACAAGAGAAGGATAAGTCTCATTTTACAGACAAAGAGGTATGTGATTGTTTATGTGCTTTGATGATACATGCAAGGAAACATAAATCCATATGTTAGAGCACTGGCAGCATAGAGTAGCATCAGCCTCGAGAAACCAGACCTCTACTTGTTGGCAGTGGGAGTGCCAGGAGGTGGTCCACTCCCATGTGCCACGTAAAAGTCTGATTCCAAGGAAGGAGGCCAGGTGATGGTTACCCTGGTTCTTTTTTTGTGTTTTTTTGTTTGTTTTTATTTTTTTTAAGTATAAAAAAGTTTACTTGCTCAACACAGGTCCCTTTTATTTGGTAGCATCTTCAAATTCTCAGTTGGACAACTTTGGTTTTTATAAGGCTCCTCCAAAAAGCAGTTGTGGCTTGTCTCTTAGCTGTTGAATGAGTATTGTCTAGAGACACTTTGTAACAGCCTGACCTCTCAAGACAATGGGAGGAACCATAAATTGAAAAACTGCGGAGTGTGTGTGAACATTTCATTACTGATGCTAGAGCCTGGGGAGGAATGTTGTTTGAAGTAATCAGAATTTCTGTGCTGTTGCATTTATGTCGCCAGAACCCATAATTTGCTTACAGTTTAACACACCATAGATCTGAGGGGAAGAGGGAGAATGGCAGGCAGGGTAGCAAGTATCCGTCTTGAAACTGTTTCTGTATCTCATGGCTGCCCTGCAGACAGGACAAGAACATGAGCTGATTGAGAGCATGCCCCTTTTGGAGTGGTTTGCCAACAACTATAAAAAATTTGGAGCTACTTTGGAAATTGTCACAGATAAGTCACAAGAAGGATCCCAGTTTGTCAAAGGATTTGGTGGAATTGGAGGTGAGTAGCAAATCAGAAAACTGAATGCCAGGGTTTCAGCCACAACCTTTCCTGTGTATCCCAAAAATATCATTACTTCCAGAGAGGTGTGCTCATATATCATCTCACCTTGCTATAATTCTGCAAGGGGATTGCTCCCTACCCTCCAGTTTTGTCAACCACAGCTATTTACTGTTTGTTCGTTTGTTCCCATAGGTATCTTGCGGTACCGAGTAGATTTCCAGGGAATGGAATACCAAGGAGGAGATGATGAATTTTTTGACCTTGATGACTACTAGGTAGTCGACATGGGTCCGGCAAAATGTGCCTCACCCTCCAGCATCCAACCCAAGGAGCATACCCGTGGTGGAATCCAAACAGATCCCTGCCTTACAATTGGAACATTTCCAGAACTTAATCCATGAGCACTGGATATTGAAAAGAAAACCGAAACAAAACCAGACCCAACCCTACACTTTGGTTTGTCATGGTGTCAGCGCAGCAGCCTACAACTAAGTTCCTAAATGCCACTTTGGACTAATTTAAAAAAGAATCCCAGTTTTTACTTTTACTTGATGGTGAAATTGGTTGCTCTTGTATTTTATGGGAAAAAAAAAAGATTTTTTTAACCTTCATACATAGAAGCAAAAATACTTTAACTGCTGTAAACCTTCAAAAGTTAATAGAAATGAGATCATACTGGTTTGTTTCGTATTTTGATTGGAGAAAAACTAAATTGCTGCATTTCGCAGTGACCCATTTACATGGCATTCTCAGCTTAGACTGCATAAGAAGAAATATATGTGGTGAAATGTTGGAACCATTTCTCTCGGTCTCTGTTTAATGTTGAAAGAGTGAGCTAATAGGCAAGTTCAGCTTCACTCCCTCAGTACCCCTCCCCTCCAGGCCGTCAGTTTCAAGGATGCAGGTTGCATTGCAAAGATAAACTGACCCATGAAGCATTTGGGCCACTGCTGTTTCCTTCCATCTGTTCTGCAGGCGCATTTGCGCCCAGGGTTTGGGAGCCCTTAGCATCAACTGCTTTGACGAGGGTTCACATAACCTTGCATACTAGAAACCAGTTTGGGATGGATATGATGGGACTTCTATGCTATTGCTGGAATTGGGAGAAATAAAACATGCAATTTAAGTGGAAGCAAAGACATTTAAATATTTTATTTTGCTTGGATCTGTCCTTGCAAAAGGGAGGTGGTCGTGTTTTCCTTGTGTTGGATGGCATGAGATTATGTGAATGTTTTGATTTTTTAAAAATGAACTGCAAGGTTTTTCACAGGAACGACAGACGAGACATGTATGACTGTGCATGTAATTGTAAACCCCTGACCTCCTGGTGGGGTTGGAGCATCTGTTTGAAATATGGGACTTACAAGCACCTCTCAGAAATTATGGGAGGAGGGTGGGAAGGGCAGGGGTGGGAAGGGATGGGGACACAGCTTCTGGCACCAAGGACTTAACCATGTTGGACCCAAAAGTGGGCCTGAAAACCTGAAGCTTAGGCTTCACAGCTGGGTTGTAAATCAGACTTGACCCCAGCTAACATGCAAGGTCACAGACAGGGTGCCTGAGGTGGTGACAGTGAACAAAGTGTATAGGACGTGCCCAGTGGTAGCAATTGAAAAAAGTATACCAAATGGACTTTGAAGGACCAAAGGTTTTAAAAGTCGATTGGTATCCCCCCACACTGCTAGGGTAGTGGGGTGCGTTTGGTTTTCAAATTGGGTACTTTAAACACTTTAGTGCCTGACTGCTGTTCTTCACTGACTTGACTCAGTCACTCGTAGCTTTATTGGTCTGAACCAGCTCCTTGTTCCCAGGTTGCAGACCTGCCTATCGTTCCAGTAATCCTGTTTCACTTGAATGAAGGGAGTATGTCTTAAATGTAAAGCTTCTGGTTCTCAACACTGTACTCTGAGGTCCAAATGACTGTCTGTCGATGTATAACCTGATGTCTCAACCCCCAGTAACAAGAGTCAATTCTTATTCACCAATGCGGGAGGCTTCACCAGAACAGGCTTTTTCTTTGGGCTCTGCTGTTTGTTTGCAGAACACCCAAGAGCGAGCAAATTTGCTCTCTTCATAGCAGTACCTTAGGGTTTTGCCATTGTAAATGGGTCTAATGTGATATATGACAAGATCAGAGAAATTGGATGTAAATTTACATTTTTGAATATGCTTGTTGTTTCACATGATACATTTAGGGTATGCAGCTCCTTTTGTAGTTTTTATTTTTACTATTTAAGTTTGGAAATGATGCCAAATTTTTGTATTTCTTTAATCAATGTGTTCTCTTCAGTGATATATATTGCATTATATATTGATGTGTGTATCAATATATACTGATATGTATTACACTTACACAATACAAACACATAAGTAAGAGGGGGTGAAAACCGTAGCCTTTGCATTCTCTATAGCCTCTACAGAGAGATCCTAAACAGCAAAATCTTGGTGTTGTGATGTACAGAAATGGAGAAGAGTATTAAACCATATTTAAGAATATACTTTGTGTGCTTGAGATTCTTTAGGACTGTTCTAAGAAAGGTCTGAGCCATGGAGACAGTATGAGTGAGCTCTCCAAAGCATGTGCAATTTCCTCATAGTTACTCTTTAGCCATAGATTTAGTGATTTAGTTGTCTTCTGCTACATTTGCCTATGGAAGGATATATGCAAAAGGCCATAATCCCAGTGTTAACACCAGAGGAAAGAGGTTCCAGTTGATGGGCCAAACTAATTTGTACCTTACTCTCTTCCCTGTGCAAGCCAAAGGGAAACCTGCCCTTTACAAAAAAAATAAGTGTTACCCTTGTTAACATTCTATGGAGATAGATGGCACTTTTAAAACAGGCTGAAAGAGGTTAAGTAGCAGCTCTTCAGTGGCAAACCAGATTTTATGCCAGGCTTAATTCCAAAATTGATTCTCTTTCTACCTGTGGTTGCCTTTGAGTCAACAGCATGATCCAGATGGAAAGGTGGAAACTAAGCCTCCCCTGCTCTGACCTTGCATACCTGGTACCTGTGGAAGAGCAGCAACCTCATTCAAGGGCAAGTCAGAGGCTGGCTCAATGGAACAGGGCTTCTAGGATGTGTTAAAACAGAAGAGGATTCTTGTTTCATTTGCTTTTCCCAAAAGTGGAGCTCCTATTTAGTAGTTTAGGAAACCTAGTTGAAGTACCAAGGTGGTACATGGTTTTCTTTGTCCGGATTTAAGAAGTATTAACAAAACTGACCAGTAAGGGAATCTCTTCCTTCACTTTGCTTTTTCAGCATAATTTTGTCCAGTTTCTCATCTGATTTAGATGACAGCCTTGATGAAACCCAGTCACCCTATGGGAAGAGGCAGACATGCCCATGCATGGCAGAGGTAGTTTTTTCTACCCCTAGCTGCTGTTTGAAGTCAAAAGTTAGAAGGCAGCACAGTAGTGCCGGTTATGTGGGCTGTTGTGCTCGCCTGTCTGGGCCTGCAGCACTTGCCATCTTTTGTTCCCTGGCTCCAGTTCTCATGCCATGGTGCTCCCAGACAGTGTATTCAGGGCTGAATGCCAAGATGGAATGTAAGCTTCATGCCAGCTTCTCCCTTGTTGCCAATTTGAGTGTGTGCCTGCTGGGACTCCTACCTGCCAAGTCCACCCTGATGGGACTGTGCCTCCCAGGGACACAAGAACTGACCGACCAAGAGGTGTGGAAGTAATGGGCGCCAAAGTTATTGAGAATGTGGGCCAAATAACTGGCACTAGAAGTATATGTGGAAACAGTTTATCTCCAGGGTTCTCTTTGACAGTCAACTCCAAACATGTCTGAGAACTCTGTTTGGGGTATAGTCAAATTGCTTGGTAAGCTCACCCTGGGGCTTAGTCAAGAGCCCAGGACAAAGAATCAGCTCTTTAGGCAAACATCTCTGGTTTTGTCTCTGCCATTCGTTGAATTTATGACTTCACATAAGTCCCTTTCTATCTCTCCAGTTCCGTATCAGTGTAAGGATGAGTGTGAATCTCCAAGAGCCTTTCCAACTGTAAAGCTATCAGGATATAATAGTGAGCAGGAGATCTGACATCTGATGAATAGAGATCCTGCCTAGAGACATTTGGCCATGTGTCTGGGCAGCAGTTTCCCTACCTGTAACAGTGTCTGCTCCCTATAGACTGTGGTAAGGATTAAATGCAATGAGGCACGTGAAATACACAGTAGCACTTAGCAACTCAGCTGGGAGATGATCACACCTGCACCACTTTGGTCCTCTACAAGTGGCCTGGGTGAATTTGCACTGGAAACCACAAGGTGGTGCTCGAGTTAAAGATACTGGTTGTGGAAGAAAGTTGCTTCCGGTGGGGAGATCTCTGACAAGCATTAAGATTCCTGGGACAGCTTGTTTAACTTTAAAATTTGGCTATATGGATAAGGCAAACTACCAAAGGAAGCAGGGATGAGTGAACAGGGAGGATAACCAGGGCTTTGAATGGCCCATCTGAAAAATAACTACACTCACTAACATTTGTTGGACAGTTACCATGTACCAGGCAAAATGCTATGTCACGTGCATTCTCTCATTTAATCCTTAGAAAAACAATGTGCCTCATTCTGTTGTATATCTGCCCATTTGGTTCCAAAGCCAATGCAAATACAGGTCATTCTTCGCTCAAGAAGAGAGAACAGGTGTTGCTACTGCTAAGACGACCAGTCAATTCACCTCACCAACCTCTGCTTTCAGTGACAACCAACAATTTGGATTGCATCTGGAAGACATTCATTTGGCAGTTATGTCCTTCCCTCAGAACATACATGTTCTGACAGCTCAGTCACAGCCACAGTTGAGAATGGATAAAGAAGTTCTCTTGGACTCTAGAGGATCCCTGTAATTGATCCAGCATCTTCAAAGAAGAATGTATACACATAATGGAATTTCTCAGACACTAGGGCATTGGCCCCTGCTCTTAAAAAAATATGCTGTCAGAGGGCAATTAATGAAACTGGAATGTGAACAATGGATAAAATATTGTATCAATGCTTCTGATCTCCTGAACTTGATAACTATATGTGGTTATGTAAGATTATACCCTTTCTCATAGGAAATATACACTGATGTAGCAAAAGGTTTAAAAGAAGATGTTCATTAAGAAAATTTTTGAAATTTCAGAAATAGGGAAGAAAAACCTAAAAGCATAATTTAACGTTTTAAGGTCATCATGAACATCCATTATAGAAAGAGTGTAATATAATGAATGTTTAGGTTCCAACTGATTCACAAAGTATCTAGAACACAACTTTAATTTGACCCTTCATTCAAGTTTGGTTTTTACTCAGAATTTGGGTTTGACTCAAAGGTCAATATAGGAGACATAGGTTTGATCTCTGGGTGGGGAAGACCCCCTAGAGGAGGGCATGGCAACCCACTCCAGTACTCTGGCTTCTAGAGAATCCCATGGACAGAGGAGCCTGGTGGGCTGCAGTCCATAGGGTCGCAGAGAGTCAGAGAATGCATTAGAAGAGTTAATTCTGTAGGGTGTACAGCTGAGGAGAAATCCCCAGCCAGAGGGGCTGGGGATGCTGAACCTAAGAACTGGGCCCAGATTGGAAGGAAGAGAGCAGAGGCAGTGCCAGGAGAGGAGCTTCTGTCAAACACTGCAGAGATGAAATCAGCTTTGGAGTTGGATCAGTGCTGAGTGAGATGAGACAGTATGAAGAACAAGACTTCTTGGGGGACCCTTGAGTGCTGCTTCACTGAGCAACCCTGGGGATGAAGGGAAGAAGGCAACGCTGCTACCTTAAAGCCTACAACCCATTCACAGAAAGGACAAGAGTGACATCAGACTCTAGTCCTTTGTCCACAGCCACACCCCTTCAATACTTACGGAATCATAATTTCAGCACTTATAGGGGGCTTGGACTTTACCATCCCAAACTCCTAATTAAAGGGATAAGAAAGCTGAAGCCCAGAGGGCAGCCTACAACCTGTCATGCTCATGCAGCAAATGAGGAGAGCCAACATAAGCAGCTGTTACAGCTCCAAATTCAGTGCTCTTACCAAATGTGGGATCTTGTTATTCTTCATCTAAGCCCCTTCTCCTCCTCGTTAGAGACGAGAAAAGAAGTTCGGAGAATAAGGGAGTGGCACGAAGCCAAAGACAGAGCTGGGAAGGGAAAGGTGGCCACTATCCAGGTGGAGTTATGCAAGTTCTTTTGAAGTCACTTCCCTGTGAGTCAGGGTTGGCTTGAGTATATAGATTAACTTGCTTCTCCAGCCTCCAGGGTTCCACATTAGCACCATCTAGGTTTCCCTTACAGTCAGACTTCTGGCTCTTCCACTCTGGTGAGAAACCCTGCCTGGGCTCAGCCCCTTCTGCTTGATTCTTCATCCTCACCCAAAGGAAACTTAGGGGGCAAACCCATATTCAAGGAAGCCTGAGTGAGTCAGTGTCCGACTCATTGCAACACCATGGACTATATAGCCCATGGAATTCTCCAGGCCAGAATACTGGAGTGGGTAGCCTTTCCCTTCTCCAGGGAATGTTCCCAACCCAGGGATCGAACCCAAGTCTCCTGCATTGCAGGCAAATTCTTTACCAGCTGAGACCCAGAAAAGGAAGGTGGAAACTTCAGAGAGAAGCTCTCCAAGCAGGAACGGCAAGGATCTTTTGAGGTAAACCCAAGATGTAGGAATATTTTGCTCCATGGAGGAAGGGAGGTGGGAGCCCGCCTTGAGAACAAGGAGAAATCAGGGCTTGATGCTCGAAGGCCTGCCCCAAGTTAAACATCTGTCCAGACCTGAGCACATTCCCAGGTTAGGCTTCCCTGGGGACTGGGATGAACCAACCCCCTCATATTGCAATCCCCATTGGAGGGCCTGCAAAGGGGCACTCTGTTTTTAAAAGGACAGGATGTCACCTGAGGAAGAGGAGTTGCACTTCAGTCCTCAAGGCTAGAGGCCTCCCTCACACCCTTGTCAAACTTGGATTCTAGAGACAGATGACATGGAATGGGCTCTTTCCTCCCTGGGGAACTAAGCAAAGGCCGTCAGAAACTCACAGACATTGCTCAATGCCACCTCTATTCCTTACATTGTGCCTAGGTTAACTCTGGTCTCATTCTTTCATTCAGCAAGTATTTACAAACATTTCCTATGTTCTGGGACCTGTGCAAGATGCTGGGGCACAGTGGTGAGAAACAGTCACTGTCCCTGCCCCTGCCCTCCAGCAGGAGACAGCAAGTATTATAATAAAAGTGAAGACTATTAGAGGATAAGAGGAGGGCACCTCCACTTCATCCGGAGGTGGCCAAACTGCCTGGTGAGCCAGGGTTGGCCTGGAGAGGTTAGAGGCGAGTTTCGAAAGGCAGATGTGTTGGTCCTGACTTGACCCAAAGGCCAGGAAACTACTCAGATTTTAAAATACTTTTTAAAACCTGCTATCATTTTTGTTCTTTATTAACAGCTTTATTGATGTATAACTTACAAACTATAAAATCAACCCACTGCATGAATAGTTTGGTGATTTTTTAAAAATAAATTCATACAGTTAGGCAAACATTACATAATCCAATGTCCACCTCTCAAAAAGGTCTTTTGTGTCCCTCTGTAGTCAACCTTTGCTCACTCCCAACCCTAGGCAACCAATGATCTGCTTTCTGTCTAAACAGTTTTGCCTTTCCTAGAAATTTAATGTTACTGGAATAGTGCAATATGCAGTCTTTTATGTCAGGTTTCTTTCACTTCACTTTTTTCATTTAGATGGATTTTTTTTACATACATCCATGTAGATGCATGTTTGTTTCTTTTTATTGTTGAGTAGTGTGATATAATAAGCAAGATATATTTGGTCTTTGTCTCCTATTCTTGGCAAAGACTTTCTCTAAAACCCTTGGAATCTCTTGAGTGATGAATGTCTTTGGTACACTAATGAGATACCCAGATAGTTTCAAGATGTGGGCTGCTTGCCAAATAAACAAAAATAGGATTACAGGGTTGGAACATTCAGCCCTACCCTGAGAAGGGAAAGGGGCTTGAGATCGAATCACCAATTTCCAATGATTTACTCAATAATGTCTACATAATGATGCTTCCATAAAAACCCCTAAATTATGCAATTCAAGAGCTTCCAGTGTAGTGAACACACCAAGGTACTGGGAGGGATCCTTAAAATTCTATATGAATTTGAGGATGAACTTTTCCATATCTGCAAACAATGACATTGGAATTTTGATAGAAATTGCACTGAATCTCCAAATTGCTTTGGGTAGCATTATCATCTTGAACATATCGAGTCTTCTAATCCATAAACACAAGATGTATTTCCACTTATTTAGGTCTTCTTTAATTTCTTTCAACTGTGTTTTACAGTTTTCTGTGTATAAATATTTTACATCCTCAGTTAAACTTGCTCCCAGGTACTTTAGTATTTTGGATGCTACTGTAAATGGAACAGTTTTCTTAATTTCCTTTTTGGATTGTTCATTGCTGGTGTCATTCTGGTTTTGATTTTCACTTTCATGCTGAACATCTTTTCATGTGTTTACAAGCCATTCATATATCTTTTCTGGTGAAATGTAATCTTTCATTCTTAATCTCCCACTTTACATTTTCATGAGGGGAGAGAGAGAGAGTCCCTCTGTCTCTCAGGTACTTTCTTCCTTCTTCTGTTCCTCTTTACTCTCAAAAAATACTTCACAGGTGGAAGGAAAACACTGTGCACGAGGTTAGCAACAGACACTGGAGCCGTACCTAGGTCCCACTCTGCTGCTTACTAGCTGCATGACTTTGAGCATGTTGTTTCACTTCTCTTTCAACTTCTTAAAGGTTTTAATAGGATGCTTTGTTAAATAAACTAAGCTATTTCATTTGTCACATAAAATGTTAATAACTGCAGCCTACTACAGCCAAGCATTGTGCTAAACCCTACAATGTGGTCATAAGTAAAAGAGACACAGCCATTGAGCTTCCAATGCCTTATCCCAGTGAATGTGAATCCCCAAATGCAATTATCACCTGAGGGAGGGCCACAGGTTGAGTGTCTGTCACAGGGTATTTTGACCTGGCTGTCAACTTTTCTGAAGACACTGGTGCTTTCACTGAGCACAGGCGATATTAGCTAGACAAAGAAGAGGAAGAACATCTCAGGCAGTGAGAATATGTTGGCGGTGGCAAGGAGTACAGTTAAGGAGGTAGATGGAGAGAAGTGTGAATGAATCAAAGAATGAAAGGGCAATGTGGTGGAGGAAGCGAGAAGGGAGGCCAGAACAGGCAGTCCGGGCTGAGCCTCAAGAGCCTTGCTGAGACCTTGAAGTTTTATCGAGGAAAAAGAGAAGCTGCTGAGGTGTTTTAAGTAGAAGGGTAACAAATGCAGATCTGCTTCTCAAAAAGATCCTTCTGGCACAGTGCAGTTTGAGAAGAGAGCATGAGGCTGAGTCTTAAAGTACTGGGACATTTTTTTTTAAATAGGAATTTTTTTTTTTTTTTAATTTTTGGCTATGCTGGGCCTTCATTGCTATGCTGGGGCTTTTTCCAGCTGCAGCAAGTGGGGGCACTATTCTTCGTTGTGGTGGTCAGGCTTCTCAGTGTGGTGGCTTCTCTTGTTGCGGGGCACAAGCTCTGGGTGTGAGGGCTCGGCAGTTCCGGTGCATGGGCCTAGATGCCCCACAGCATGTGGGATCCTTTGATGTCCCCTGCATTGGCAGGCAGATTCTTAACCACTGGACCACCAGTGAAGTTCTAGTACTGGAACATTTAATATCCAAATAAAGCGTTAACATCAAGACATGTAAGCAATGAAAGAAAAGCCTTCAAGAAGAGGTAATCAGTGACCCCTGGTGGTTCAGGGGTGAAGAATCTGTCTTTCAATGCAGGGGCCTCAGACTTGATCCCTGGTTGGGGAACTAAGATCCCACATGCCATGGGGCATCTAAGCCCACATGCTGCAAATAAAGAGCCTACATGCTCTGGGCTATATAGAAACCTGGGCGCCACAACTAAGATGCACAACACAACGCAGTCAAGTAAATTAAAAAAAAAAAAAACCACAGATGATCACTTACAAGTCCATGCTGGTGAGAATTACTAAAGGAAAATGAAGACTGAAAAAAAATCTACTGGATTCAAGAGTCAGGGGGTCCCTGGTAACAGCTAAGGAGACCCCAAACACTGCTGCTCAGACCCTGGAGTTTGTCTAGCCTCTCTATGGCCCCACAGTCACTGCCTCAGGACTTACCCTCTGGCAGATCAAAGCAAGTCTTTCTCATTAAGATTCTTAAGATTCCCTGGCAGCTCTTCTGGCTGGCTGCACCAGCTCTATCATGGGACCAGGCCAGTTTGCCCATGTCTGCCTACGTATCTCATCTAACCCACCTCACCCATTTGGCTGCTGGGGAGCCAGAGGTTTCTACTGGGTGCCAACAAACAGGCAGTCTCATGCCACAGTTAAGCACTACTCCGAAGTCACACACCAGTTCCTAACACAGCTCTACCACTTATCAAGATCTTGGTGAAAAATATGTAAATGGCTGAAACTGTTTTCCAATTTGTAAAACACTGTGACAATGAAGCATGTATCAAATACTCCACCTAGAGAATTAGCTATCACAGGTTCACATTCATTCATTCAACAACTGTTTATTGTACAGGTAACAGCAATATAATAGACAACAAGGCAGACATCATCTATGTCAACAAGGAGTATCCAATCTAGTGGTGGACCTAGTCAAACAAAGATCTGATGCTTGACAGGAAAAGCAAAGGGCCCTGGTAGAGAATTGGGTGGGTGGGGGAACAAAAGTCACACCCCTAGTACTGTTGCAGGGGGTTGGCTTTTCTTTGGGCAAGATCACTCATTTATAGCATAAATACAGGGTTGGTGCCATTGGTAAGATAAGGTTTGATTCCTGTCCTAAAAGAGAATTAGGAGGTAAGCACAGGAAAATAATATGGTTAAGAAGAAGAAAACTGCAAAGAAATCCCAGGAAACTGTCATATTGGGTGTCACATTGGCTTTTTATGCAAAAAGTCTCAGCTTATTTGGAACTCAGGTTCCAAATATCCCCACCAGAGAGGCCTGAAAGCTAGGACCCAGGGTCACTGGAGTATCAGTCTCTCTCAAGACAGGGAACAACATAGAAACCCTACTGCTACATAGGGTTTTTCCAGGTTCAAACCCATGTCAACCCAGAAGTAAACACAAGGTTTCCCCAGAAGAGGCCTGGGGTTCCTGCAAATTCTGTAGCTGGAGAGGAAGCTGCTAGAGCTCCCCAGCCTCTCAGGCCTTCCTCCTCTGCTAGGCTCAGCTATAAATAGCTTGCCGGTTTCCAGCTGGGGATCTCCCAGCCCTGAAAGGAGTAAGCACCGCCTTCTCACCTTGTCCTGCCCTCAGCCTGGAGCAGAATGGGGTGGTAGCTGGCGGCCGGAAGGAGACGCTGCTGCTGCTGCTAAGTTGCTTCAGTCATGTCCGACTCTGTGCGACCCCACAGACGGCAGCCCACCAGGCTCCCCCATCCCTGGGATTCTCCAGGCAAGAACATTGGAGTGGGTTGCCATTTCCTCTCCAATGCAGGAAAGGAAAGGAAAAGTGAAACTGAAGTCTCTCAGTCATGTCCGACTCTTAGCGACCCCATGGACTGCAGCCTACCAGGCTCCTCTGTCCATGGCATTTTCCAGGCAAGAGTACTGGAGTGGGTTGCCATTGCCTTCTCCAGAAGGAGAGGAGGGGAGGGCAAAAATGAGCACCACAGAGAAGCTGGCCACTGGACTACATTACCCACAATCCTAGATCATAGCTGGAAAGAAGAGGCTGCTCTGGGCCTGCAGCCTTAGGTGGGAACAAGGCCAGAGGCAACCTAGTGCCTGCGTGTGCAGCCCAGGCCCAGTTTTTTCCAAAAATCTAACCCAGAAACCTTCAGTCATGGACCTTAGAGATCATCTCCTCTCCATATACTCAACTCACAGGCACTCAGCTGATCTGAGGCCAGGGAGACGGACAAAATTCCATTTATTTTCACCTTATTCACAGTGTGTGTGTGTCTATAACCAAAGACTGGAAGTCTATGAGTGATTTTATTCTGGATCAAGTCCAGAGGCTTCTTAGTGCTAAAAGCCCCCTCCCCAGCATTTACTCGACTCATTACTCCCAAGCTCTCAGCTTTTCTCTCCCTGCCTCACCTGAGGAGGAGCAAATGCTCACACGCTGGTCCATGTTGCATTGCATTTCTGGAAGTGCTCGGGGGTGGGTGCTCAGGAACTGCTGTCTCTGCTGAGATCTAGTCCCTCTCAGACCTTTGCTCATCTCCCAGAAGGCAGATCAGGGTAATCACGTGGCTGAGGCACCTTTAAGTCCCTGGAGGCGCTGTAGGAGAGCCTGGAGGGGTTGCGGTTTCCTGCAGTGGATAAACCAAAGGTGTCAGGCTGAGCAAGGGAGGCCATTCTGGGTGGTAGAAGCACCCAGTGGGCACTACTTCAGACCTCAGTGCCACCGCAGGTGTACACCTGCCCCAGCTCTGGCTCCCCCCACTCCAACCTTCCAAGTTTCCACAAAGAGCCAAACTATTCATGTCGGATTCTGGGGCTCATGAAGGTCCAGATTGACAGGGAGCATAGCGGTGAAGATATTTGGGACTAGACCTGAAGTCGCGGACCCCTGTTCAAGGTGGAAAGATACTAAGGCTAGCCTGACAACAGGGTCTTTCCCTCCTTCCCCTCGCTCAGATTTGATAACAACTCTCACATCCTAAGCCCGGCACCAGGAATGTAAAGATGGAGTCACAGTCTCAATAAATAAATGATGTGTTAGGTGCACAAGAGGCCTATGGGTGGGGGGTTGGAAGGACTTCCAGACGGCCAGAGGTCTGAAACAAGTAAGGGTGACGCACAGTTCCACCAGAATGGTGTAGAAAGGATATTCCAGGCAGAAGGGGCAGGTTGATAATGGCAGAAAGGAGCGAGAAACGGAAAGCAGAGAAATACCTAAGACCGACTAGCAAAATGCGCGCGCGCTGGCGCGCAGCAAGCGAGGCCAGGCCCTCACACCACGCTAAGGTGTGGGCTTTAGGCCTCGGGTCAGCAGCCGCCGGAGGAGCTCCAGCAAAGTCGGCGGCGCTCAGAGAATCAGGGGGTAAAGTGGGACAAAATACGAAACCGGTGGGGAGAGTGGCAACCTCATACCCTCTGGGGACGCCCGAGTCGGCCTATCCCGCGTTTACCTCAACCCGGCCAAGCCACGCGTTCCCGGCCCCTCCGCCGCCGCCGCCCCCACCTTGGCAGAGTCCCCTGGCCGCGGGCTCCCGGGCGCGGGCGGACCGGGAGGGCCGAGCTCCCGCCCACAGCCGCCTGCGGGCCGCCTGCCAGACGCGGCGGGAAGGAAGCGCCTTGTATGGGCCTCAGGCAGGGAGGAAGCGCCAGGCAGGGCCCCGGGAGGAAACGCCATATTTGGCGAGGGGCGGGCCGGGGGCGGGGAGCGCGCCCGCGAAGGAGGTCGCTTCCGCCGCCGCAAGACAGAGCCACGCCGCGCCGCCCCACCCCGCCCGCGCCGGGCCGCGACCCCCGCCCGACCCCTCCTCCCGTCGGAGGTACGCACGGCTTCTGGCTCCGCTCCCTCGGTTCCAGAGCTACGGCAATTGGGGACAGAAGGCGGGGTCCAGGCCGTCTTTGACGACAGACAGAGCGGAGAAGGATTGCCGGCTCCCAGCACTCGCTCTGTGGCAAAACACTTTGGTCTCTGAGCCTCGGATTCCTCTTCCTCCGAAGGAAATGGGGATAAAATGAGAGGATACCTGTTAAGCACCGCCAGGAGCGGCACTGCCCTCAGTGGCAGCGCATTAACCCAACATTGTGTGTGGCGGGAGAGGGGCCGAGGTGTTTCCATTCCCTTGCTGTGTCCCTTTAGCCTCTTTATAGCCTACTAGGTGCCTGGGGGGCTATATGGAGCTGACGCTTTCAAGAAAATATTTCTCTTGAAGAAAATAGGGCTACCTTAAAGTCTAGAGTTTTTCCTTCCAAGCTCTGGGAGTCAGACAAGATGGGGTTTCAGTCCCAGCTTCTCCCCTTCCAGCTGATTGATGCTGGGAAAGCTACTTTCCTTCCCTAAATCTCAATTTCCTCATTGGTAAAATGGGGATAATAATTCCTGATTTGCAGGGTTGTTGTGGTAATCAAATGAAACTGGTGTGTGCGTTTAAGAGAGAGAGAGAAAGAGAGCCCCTGATATGGAGGAGGTGCTTAATTAATGACAGTTCTTCCGTTCACTGGGCACTTTCCCATCCTGCCAGTGGGGAGGAGATAAGAAAGGCTAAGTAAACTTGGCCATTCCTCCTGGAAGTCCTACTCTCTTGGAGAAGACTGTCCCTTCTTTAGGATGTATGGGACCTTGTTGCTAATATTTGGTTCTTCTTCCAGAGGCATATCTGTGGCCCTTAATGCTCCCCTTTCTCAGTTCAGCCACCACCGCCAGTGAGTTGCCATCCTTGCCTGCTCTTCTCTACCTACCCTAGAGCCTCGATGACCTGAACACACTGGCAAGGGCAAAAACAACGAGGAAGTTGAAGTTCCCATCACAGCCAGAACCTGGTATCTAGGACACCATACCTTCCCACGCCTGTCAGTACCACACCCACACGTTTCACCAAGAGATGGGTATCAATCTCAGAAAAACATTTCCCAACCCTCCCTTCTTGGCCCTGCCCTGCACTCATCAGTTCTGCCTGTCCTGGAGTTCCACGTAAATCTAACCAGAATCTTTTTGCCTCTCAGTCACAGCTCCATCCTGCAGTTTGCAACCCCTGAGAGGTTCCAGGCAAGTTTGTGAACACACACAATAGATGTGTCACCCACGGCCTTGTTTCCTTTCATCCTTGCTGGGCAAGGAGGCTGTCGTTGGCATGGTAACCTTGCCTGTAAAAGTTGCAGCCCTCAAGGATGTTTTTCAGTTCCAGCGGGGACACAGCTCCTTCCCCCCACCTCCCCCATGTAGATCACAGGGTGACATGTAGCTGTGTCATCTGGCCTCCCCCAGAATGGGGATGTGATGCTGGTGGCACAAAAGAAGGACTAGTTCATGGAGGGCAAAGGACTTAAGGGAGATGTTGATTGGATCTCTGAGGAACAGGTTCCTTCTGTTCCTTCTGTCCTGTATGTGTTGATCCTCAGCCACCAGAGAAACCAGTTCTGAGATTCAGAATATTTAGGGAGACACTCTGGATCTCATGGTGAATGATAAGCACACATCTTCACTTAAATCAGGCACCCAACAAATCATATGATTCCTGGTGCTTAAACCTGTAGAATAAACTGATAAACCCAAAAAGCCTCCAGAATCCAGTGATTTCCTTTCTCCTCAGGCCCTGTGGAATAAATGAATATTTATTAACCATCTCCCATGTTCCAGTTTCCCCATATATTATTTCAACTAATTCTTCCCACAGTCCTTTAAGGGAAGTATTAAAACACTCCTTTTACAAGTGGGGAAACTAAAATTTGGGCAGAGCTCTCAAGCAACTTGTCCAAAAATACATGGCCTTGAAGTGATGGCACTGAGACTTTCAGACTCCCAATCCCTCACAAAGTCCTGTGTTCCTTTGTATTTGTGATTGTACTACTTGCCCCCAGGTCCCAAGGCATTCCCTTTCTAGGAGGTCCTCAGGAACGCAATGGGCATCACCATCAGTCCATGTGGCTGTGGGGTCCTGTGTGGCCCTGAGTGGCACAGCAGTAACAGCATCCTCATCCTCAAACCTGAGGCTTCCCGCTGCCAGCTGCCTTGTCTCCGTCATGGAGTTTCCCCGGCAGAGGGCAAGCCGAGGGAAAGTGGTTCCCAGCTGCCAGCCTCATCTAGACAAAATTGCATTAGCGCCAGCCCCGGCTTCCCTCAGTCCCTCCAGAGTGAGCACATTTGGCTCCCCCGCAGAAGGGAGGGGCAGAGAGACACCGAACAGAAAATTTCTCTGGCTGGGAAGCACTTGGCTTCCAGCTGCCACTCATCTTGTCGGTCGGGAAGATTAATACTGATCCTCTGGAGATTACAGAAGTCTCTAAAATGAACCCTTGGGCAAAAGGTATGCCAGGGAGAGAGGCTAGTAGGAAAGCCCAAGGTTTGAGTGCAAGGGGCTGGAATTTGAGGCAGTCTTAGGAGGGAGGAAGGCTACTGATGTCCTGTCATGCTCTTTTCTGGGTGTCATTCTTCTTTCTGTGGGACTTCTGGCCTTTTATCCAAAAGGTGGAAACAGTCATTTCCTGGCAACTGAAGCAGGGTGAGGTAGGAAGCAGTAGGAGGCGGGAACTCTCAGATTGTGACCTCAAGCAAAACAGGGGATGCCTTAATAGTATCAATATTTATTTACGGTGTGTCAACCACACTTCCTTTATTACCTCATTTAATAGATCTTACTGGTACCCCTGTCTTAGAGAAAACAAAACTGAGGTTTATGGGGCTCCTCAATGACCATAGCTCCCAACAGAAGTGGGCCAAGCACTCTGTAGATATTGTCTCATTTAATCCTCACCACGAACCAGTGAGATGGAACCATTATGCCCATTTTCTAGAGGTGAAAACTGAGAAGCAGAAAACTTGCCTGTGATCACTAAGTAATGTAAGTGGCAGAGTGAGGGATTAGAATTTGACGTGTGACCTCAGAACACACATGCTAGACCACTTTGTCTTGCTGCCACCAAGGCTTCTCCATGCTTTTGGGGACTTCTGCTTACATAGCCTGAGACCACAAATATCTGCCCACACTTGCATTTTCCTAGTAGTTGCCACACAGGTGAAAATCCAGCCAGGAGCATTCACTTGGTTTAGTTCAGACTTGCCATCAGAGTCTTTGTAGGGCCTGAACAGATAGGTCTGGGTAATGTGGGGCCCTGTATCTTGGGGCTTGGCTATCTCCCATCCAGACTCCCAAGGTGGGAGGAAACCCAGAGAGGTCTTCATTACCCTCCTCATGCCTTGAGATTTCCCTAAGAGATACAAAGATGTATAAATTGAACAGTGCTTCTTGCAGGAGAGGATGAGGAGTCCAGCAACTTCATCCAGTGAGAACCCAAAGCAACAGCCTCTCCAGCTGGGCAGGCTCCCAGTGGCCTTTCTCAGAGGCTCCTCTGCATTATTACATGAGCAGACTCCATTGCTTCCAGCCCTACTGCAGGACTGTGGGGGTGGGAAACACTTGGAATCCTGAGTCAGAGGCAAGGTTCCACTTCAGTTTCCCTGGAACAGCAGGTCAAGGATGCAGCAGGCAGTGTATCTGGAAAGGAAGGGTAACAGGAAAGTGAAAAGGAATTGTGCTCATTTCCTTCCCTACCATCTCTTTTATTTTAAAAACATTTTATGAAAAAAAAAATAAAATAAAATAAAAACATTTTATGTATTTAATTTTTATCATACTAGGTGTGATGCATGTTATTGCAGAAAATACATGTGATGGAAATGAAGTTTTTTAGTGTGAGTATTCCTTCCTTTTTTCTTTTTTTTTTTGGTTGTGCCATGTGGCATGTAGAATCTTAGTTCATTGACCAGGGATCCAATCCATGCCCCCTACAGTGGAAGCCTGGAGTCTTAACCACTGGACTGCCAGAGAAGTCCCAATGAAAGCATTCCCCCCAACCCTTTTTCCTCTCCTAATTTACCAACTCACCAAAAGGTTTCCAGCTCAGAATCCAATCCCACATTCCAGTTTAAAGAGTTCAGTCTTTATAGTCCAGTTCTGGACATTATGTCATGCAGAATCAGAATTGGGAGAGGGGAATAGTTAGAGATGTGGAGCCTGTTGTTTTTGTTCAGTCACTAAGTCGTGGCCGACTCTTTGTGACCCCATGAACTGCAGCATGCCAGAGCCTGAGAGGCTGGGAAAGGGAAGGACTTGGGCATAGAGGCTAAGCTGATGTTTTAATAAAGAACAAAGAAGGAGAGGGAGAAGGAAAGCTAGAAAGGAAGAGTATGAGGAATTTTATGAAGTATTGTAGGGCATTAAGTAGATTCTCTATAATTCCCCAAGTAGAGATTGAAATAAGTTTGTACTTTCTGACTCCAGGGTCATAATTCCTTATTTGCAACTCTTTGTTGCAAAGCTTGTAGAGCTCTAATCATACAGAGATCCAGAATTTGTTAGGGATCCATACAGGAAAGTACAAAATATCATTATGTAATAAATGAAAGAAAATAGTCAACGATTTATCCTGTCTTTTTTTTTTTAAACAACTATGATTAAGCCTAAATTCATCATCAACATATTCTGGCTAACAAATGCAAATGGAATGATAGAATTACAAAATCACCATTTTGTAACCTCTAATGAGATAATAGATTTGGATAAGGATCATTAGATTCCTGAAGCCATAGGGTGGTGAAGAATTGACAGAAATTTTTTTTCAGAAATTTTATAATAACACTTGAACCCATCAATTAATTTTAACATCACAAAAAGAGAGACCACCCAAGAGAACTGAAAACATCTTCACATAGAAACCTGCATACAATGTTCATAGCAGCAGCCTTATTTGCAATAGCCAAAGTGGAAGCAACCCAAATGTCCATTAACTGATAAGTGGATTTTTAAAATGTGGTATATCCATACAATGGAATATTATTCAGTGAAAAAAAGGGGGACGTACTGATACGTGCTACAACATGGATAAACCTTAAAAACATTGTGCTAAGTGAGCAGAGATACCAAATGCCATATATTTTATTATTTTATCTACATGAAATGTCCAGAATAGGCAAATCCATAGAGACATAAAGTAGACTGGTGGTTACCAGGTGCTGCAGGAGG